GGACCGTACCAGATGTGATGCAGCTTTAAACCTTTGTGGAAACCAGGCCAATAAGCTTGTTGGTGTACCAGCACCATGTCACCCTTTCGGAATGATATGTGTCGGTGTTTCCGGTTGTAATTAAGTGCTTGTCTCTGTTGAGCAGCCGCAATCCGTTCCTGAATGAGGAGGAAAACATTTTGTTGTCGAATCACCATGTCGTCTAAATCACCTAACTCAGTTCCCCGTTCCACTGTTTCCGATTGGCCACCGCGAGTTATTAAATGGTGATAACCAGGAACTCTTGGATGGTAACCGTAATTGGCGAAAAATGGTGTTGTCTGAATGGATGTTTGATAGGTATTGTTGTAAGCGAACTCCACAGTAGGAAGTAGAACAAGCCACGCAGATGGATTCTCACTTACGTAATGTCGACACATTTCCGTTAGCGTTCTGTTCATCCGTTCGACTTGTCCGTCTGTACTGGGATTGTATGACGATGTGAATTTGGTGTCTATGTTGAACCGTTGCATGCAACGTTGCCATAATTTGCTTGTGAAGTACTTATCCTGGTCGGCCATAATTTCTTCTGGGAAACCATGAAGTTTGAGAACATTGTCGATGAAAAGGTTAATGACATCTTCTGTGTTAGCTGTCTTGTGGACAGGGATGAAGTGAGCCATTTTAGTTGCTCTGTCGATAACTACCATAATGCAATTGTAATCTTGGACCGATTCGAGACCTCCTAGGAAGTCTATATTAATGTGAGACCAGCGATGGTTACCACTGGGCAACGGATTGAAAGTACCTGGCGGTAGTAAAACCGGATGTTTATTTTGTTGGCAAGCGCGGCAAGTGCTGACATACTTTTTAATGTCACGTTCCATACAAGGCCAATAATAATGTTCTAACAATGACTGCAACGTGCGCTTACTACCAGGATGACTGGCGGCAGCTGAGTCGTGATGTCTGTGAAGGACGTTGTTCCGAATAGGACCTGCTGGAATGCAAAGTCGACGAGGAGCGCTTTCTTCTTTTCTGTAGAAAAGGAGGTTGTCTTGCAACGTATAAGAAAGTAGTTGGGTCCTCAATTCGGTCGGAGGCTCGAGTGAAGGGTCCTTAAGATGTTTGATTATGTTGCAAAAGAAACTATCGCTAGTGTACGCGTTTTCTAAGTCGGTTTTATCCTCAGTCGATAGTTCCAATTTACTTGTAACTAGTGTATTCAGCTGTGGTGGCCTAGATAGCGCATCTGCGTGGTTTGTCGAGCCTTTTATATATTGTATCTCGTAATCAAATTCTTCGAGGAGGTCTCTCCATCGAGCTAAACGCAAGTTACTGTCAAGTAACGAGGTCTTAAAGTACTGCAGGGAGTGATGGTCCGACTTGATTATAATATGGGTGCCTGCTAAGTAGTGGCGCCATTTCTTGAATGCGAAAACAACTGCAAAGAGTTCTTTGTCACGTATCGGCCAATTGAGTTCACTGCCCGTGAGTAGTCGGCTAAGGTACGATACTACCCCGATGAGGTTAGCCTTCGTTGTTGTTCCATCGTAAAGCTCTAGTACGGCTCCAATGGCTACACTGGACGCATCTGTTGTCAATACGATTTGCTTAGTCCGATCAAAAGGAATCACAATAGGGTTTTCACTTAACTTTTGTTTGAGTGTATCGAATGCAACTTGACATTCTGGAGACCACTTACATTTTTGAGATGCAAATTGGTGTAAGGGTTTGGCAATGTGTGAATAGTGCTTCACGAACCGTCTGTAGTAGCCTGCTAGTCCTAGAAAGCTTAAGGCTTCCTTATAGGTTTTGGGTACCAGATAGTCGCGAACAGCTTGAATCTTGTCTTCGTCCGGGCGTATTCCGTTGGCACTAATCACGTGGCCTAGAAATTGCATTTCCGGTAGATAGAATTCACATTTGCTCTTTTTTGCAAACAACTGATGTTCCCGAAGAATGTTAAGGATAGTTGTTACATGTTCGTGATGTTCCTCTACTGTCTTCGAGTAAATTAGAATGTCATCTAGATAAACAACGCATATCTTATTAATGTAATCCCGAAGGATATGGTTCATTAACCTTTGAAATGTCGCGGGAGCGTTGGTTAATCCAAACGGCATTACACGCCAGGAGTATTGTCCTTGGTGAGTTGTGAACGCAGTCTTGTATTGATCTGACGGTGCTATAGCGACCTGGTGATATCCAGAAATTAAATCAAGTTTAGAAAAAATAACAGCTCCGGATAATTGATCCAGCACATCCTCGATGAGAGGGAGTGGGTATTTTGACTTAACTGTGATGTTGTTCAATCCTCGATAATCGACGCAGAGACGTTTAGTACCATCTTTTTTCTGAACAAAGATGACTGGTGCAGCAAATGGGGACTCCGATGGGATAACTTTCCCCGAAGCTATAAGTTCGGCTAGTTGTTTGTCCAATTCATCTTTGTCATTTGCTGATAATCGGTATGCTCGTTTGGCCACTGGTGCTGCACCTGCAACTAGGTCAATATGATGTTGTACCGTTGGGGTGGACTGTGGTTCCATCGAGTTACTCTGAGGGAGCTCATCTACGACAACGTCTTTGAATTCTGTAAGAATCTCGTTCGAAGCTGTATCTGAGCCCTTTGTATGCATCTCCTTCAGCCAGCAGATATACACTTGGTTTGAAGGATCTTTCAGATCTGATCTGATCTGTCTGTGTCCAACCATGGTGATTGGCTGCGGCGACGTTACTGGGGAAGGCAGTAGCCCGTGCAGAATGTCGGGGTGCCTTTTAAAGAAGTTAATGCCGAATACGAGGGGATGTGGAAGCTGCGTATTAAGTACGAGGAATGCCTCTTCGTAAGTGTCCTTTAGGTATGAAAACGTAAGTTTTACATAATGGGTAATCATGCCCGTTGAGCCTAAGGCACCTCGAACTACAGAGTGTTCCGGTAGACTTTGTAATTGCGCTTTTGTTCCTTGAATAAATCGTTGTTCGACGAAATTGTGAGATGCTCCAGTATCTACAAGTCCTAGAGTTCTCTTGTTATTTCTGTTATAGAGTTGAATCGGCATGGTCAGGAGGTTATTATCCTGTGCCAAGCGATGTAAATAAAGAAAAGATTTTGTTAAAAGATTGTTGGTAATACCATTATAAACTACTGCTGTAGAGATAAAAAAAATTGTGGAAGATAATGGTTCAGCTAATTTTTTGACTGTCCAAGACTTTGAGTGAATTGTTTCACTTGCTGAGCCCTGCGTGGTCGACCTGCCTTCTTCCGTCTGCACTCCGATTCGGAGTGGCCGGAGTAATTACAGTAAGTACAAGTGACTGTTGGCTTTCGCTTCTTGGAAGAGAAATGTTTTGAAGAACCATCTTTGGCACCGTCTGATTTTGTGCTCTTGATGGCATTCTCCCTGTCCATTTCTCTCATCTTACGTCTTACAGAGGCTGTAACATCCTCCATTGTCTTTGGATTTTGTTGGAACAAGAACGTTCTCATTTCGTAAGGTGCTGCGTTAATGAACAGGTGAACGATTAGCTCTTCTTTTGTCGCACGCTCAAGGAGGTGACGAGCTTCGTTAAATTGTTGGATCTTTTCTTCTCTGTCCTCCAAAGTGAAGTTTAGATCAAAAAGGGCTTGAAGGTTATCCTGGTCCATGGTCTCGTTGGCATAGAGGCTTCTGCACATTTTGAAAGCTTCGTCGACGGTCGGTGAGTGACCGTTCGCTTTCCTCTGGTAGTCCAGGTAAGAACGGAACCAGACTGCACATGAACCTTTCATTGCGATGAACATGGCTTCTAAGGCCATGTCGCCCTCGAAACCAAGCTGTTCGAAACGTAGTTTGACTAGCGATTCCCAGGAGTCGTAATTGGCGGGAACCTTCCCTTCCTGTCCAACTAATGGTGTGGGGATGAGGTCCGAAAAGTCCTTTAAGGCTTTAGGATCGATCTTCGTGTTAATAGACATACTTATTTGTTGCTATTACTAAAATGTTTTAGTAATAAAGATCGAGTTCAGCGGCGCTACCATGTAACGAGGTAGGGTTTATGTCCGCGCAAATTTTTATTAGTTGAGTGGCAGATTACCCTAAATCGTATTAAGGATATCTACTAACACTTGTTGGTGTTTATGTTTGCTCTTATACCAGTTAAGGGATTACAAGGGGCTTATTAAATATATTGCGTGTATAGGAAGACTTGTAGTTCACTGATGGTGATGCTATAATCTTCAACGGCTTAATGTATATTTGAAATAGAATGATCGATTGCGATTATCTTGCTTTAACTTGACTGGTTTCTTTCAACTGAAAGATGAACATTAACTTTTGGAGATAGGAGAGTCCCTTTTATAGGAGTGCTCTCTATCCCAGCTGNGAGATAGGAGAGTCCCTTTTATAGGAGTGCTCTCTATCCCAGCTGACATGTGTGTGACGTCCATTTGGGTATGTCCCTCGTTGCTCAGGATCGGCATGCTGTGTCCCGAACAACTCATCAACCAGTGTCAGACGAGAGCTCTGATTAGTTGGATCTATACGATGTGTCGAGAGAACTTCGTTCTACGACTCTTTCTGAGTGTGATGCTCATTGGGCTGTCTTTATAGCTAAAGATGCCACTGTCATGGAATAAAGTGTCAGTAATGCCTAATGCGGTTTACTGATCTTATTCACGTGATAGTTCTATTGCAAGATGCTATCAGTAATGCATAAGATGCTAACGAAGGTTAGTTTACACCTTAGTTTTCATTTTTGATCAAGCTAAAGGGTTAACCTTGTTACAAAGTATTTCAATATTGTTGCTTTTATGGCCAAGTTGGTAAGGCGCCACACTAGTAATGTGGAGATCCTCGGTTCAACTCCGAGTGAAAGCATTTTTTTGAATTTTTTGACTTGCCAGATCTAGTTTTGTTCGTAAGGCTGTATTTCGTGATGTTTTTGAAATGTTACTGCCCATGTCACCTTCTCTTTATTTTAAGCACTTGTTTTATACTTTTTAATATTAAACGACAATTCGTGAGAGTACCAAACCGATGTTCAGAATACGTTTAAAGAGGCTGCTTACATTAAGATTTTTGTTATTGTTATCGATATTTTATGCAATTTATCGAGTCTCTACGAGCCGTCGTGAAGCAGGGTCTACCATTGATAATACTGAATTATCATTAAGAAATTATAGAGATTCGACGGACCATTCGCCCTTTAAGATCATTGCTGAAAAAAGAGATGAAATACTAAAAACTGGAGTTTGGTCATCTATTAAGAGGAAGGTTTCCTTAGGTGTCCCTGGTCCATCTATTTTCAAAGATGAAGATCGTTTTATTATGAATTGGAGAAAACAAAACTCACAATCAGACAGACTAAAGAAATGTCAATTTATCATATCGTCCATGTACTTTAAACAATCGAGATGGAGTAATCGAGATACTTTGAAATTTTACTCTAACGATGAGTTGGACAATTCATTGATTGAATTGTTAGGTGAGAGAATGCGAACTTATGACTATTGCTTTTTGAAAGGGAATTTAAGTTTGACAGACGTTTTCGATTCTAGTGTTTTCAAAGATAAGGGAATTGATGCTTGGGACTACCAATCTAGAATGTTTCCATTCCTAAGTAAAGATTTTAATAAGGAATCTAAATACATGTGGCCAGATATTATTGATCTGACAACTGGTTTAAAATCCAATAAACTAAATGATGTAGGATCTGGAAACACCAATACACCCCCTCTTGAGTTCAATATAAATTTTTGGGCTAATTGGTTGAAACATTCAGAAGGGAAGGGTATTGTTTCTACAATGGCACCATCAGATGCAGCCACATTTTCAAGACAACTTAAAGTTTTTCAGAATTTGAATAACACATTGCCAATCCAGGTAGTTTCAACGGGACATGATCTTACACCTGAATTTATTGATGAACTGGCAAATGCAGCAACACTAGCAAACCAACAAGTGTTTATTGTTGATTGTTCAAAGTTTTTTGATTCAGAATTCACTGAAAATTATATCAAAAACTTTTTTAATAAATGGGTGGCGGTTATTATGAATACTTTTGAAGAATCAATGTTTATTGATGTCGATGCTGTACTATTTAAGAATACTACATCTTTTTTTAATATTCCTGATTACCAGGCTACCGGAATATATATGTACCAAGATAGAACAATGCCAGAAGAGCATACATTTCAGTATTGTATTGAGATGTTGAAACACATGACTCCCTCTAAGCAAGAAAGAGATTTATTGGGATCCCATCTTTTCATTGACGACCTGCATACAGGAAGTATAGTTTCGACAGAGGCGATAGTGTATCAGAACTTTTTTAATGATCTACGACTTCATCATGTTGACAGCGGGTTGGTTATAATAAACAAGGTTAAAAAACTGAATGGACTATTGATGTCCTTCCTTCTTCATCTAGATGGGAAAATGCAAAGATGCGTTTATGGCGATAAAGAAATATTCTGGCTAGGAGAGCTATTTGCCGGCGAAGATTACACAATCGATCCATTCGAGGGAGGTATAGTTGGGGGTGTTGGGGAGTATACAGAAGAGCAAATATCGGTCAAAAAAGCCTACATATGTGCAACTCAGATTGCACATAGTAATGTAGAAGACCAATTGGTTTGGACAAACGGTGGGTTGAAGACTTGTAAGATCTTTAATGCTGCAGAAGATGATTTTGCTAAGGACGAGTCGTACTATTCTGGGAGGTATAAAACAGTTGATAACTTAGAAGAAATATATAATTCCCCACTTGTCATTGAAGGATTTATATCTCCAGACCCATTCCTCAGCCCGTGGAAGCAAATTAACGAATGCAGTAACTATATGTATTGTGCATTTGTTACGGAGGACACTTCGATTGCGGATATCACTAATGGGAAGATTATTAGGTTTAATGAGAAAGACAAAACACTTTACAATTCTATATCACGCATATGGAATGAGTAGATTTCAGTTCTGAAGACATTCATTACCAATATATCAACTGTCATATGTGCAGATATGTAGTATCTAATATATTATTCTATGATTTTTTTTAATGGGTATTAATTAATGTTATTATTTATACAAATTTGTATATTAGCTATTTATATAGTTAGATTGGGTTTGTTAAAGATTAAATATAGAGATGATTAATATAGGTAGTCACCTAATGAACTAGAATACAGGATATGTTAATGGTAAATTTCGAATAGTAAAAAAAGTTTGAATTTAATTAATAGAACAATTGTCTTTCGAAATTCTACAACTTATTTCCTTCATTTTGAACGATACTTGGTGTTTCCAAAGGAGTTATATATGGTTGTTCGATGGAAGCGGATGCAGCAGTATTGATTTTAGGTTCTTCAATAGAGCCAGGAACCATCTCCATGGATTGTGCAACCGGTTCTTCAATCGAGTCTTCTCTGACATCGAATGATTCTGCTTTTTCATTCGAGTTACCATTTTCATCAATATAATTACTTTTATTAATATCTAATTTCAATAAGCGGTTTAGACCAGTCGCCTTCATACACCAGGAGAAAACACCTGGCCAAACATTTTTGATGTAAGTTAAGTAAAAACCTACGAACATTGCACAGAAATTGAAGACAACAAATACAATCTCTAGACCAAAGTTTCTCCATCTATGGTGATAACTCATGTTTTCAACAGCTAAGAAATCATCACCGACAGTATAGGTACAGTAACCACAAACAGTAAATGTGTTTGGATTTTTTAAGTAACCACCGAATTCTTCAATGTAAGGTGCCATGAATTCACCACATGTTTGACCCACTAATGGCTGACCTGGAACCAGTTCACTATTTTTGCAAATAACGGGTCTATCGTGTAGAAGTAAACTTACAAATGTCTCAATGAAATATGTGTAAGGAGAAACCCTGTACATGAATGTCCAAAAACGTGGGAACAAAGAATATGGTTGCATAACACCACAGAACGAAGCTGTGAAAGAGTATAAGAATGCAACGAACACAGCTGCCGTTTGTAAATCTGGAGCGGAATACATCAACCAAAGACCGAAAGTTAGATAGTATGCACTGAATAAAATATAGTTCAGGTAGAAGACACCAGCAATATGTGGAGCATTTGAAAAGCCACAACAGAAGTAACAACAGAGGAAGAACAATGTAGAACTTGCGATGGCCAGAGGTAATTCGACGACTGTTTGTGCAATCAATAAGACAGTCCAATGGTAAGTATTAGATCTATTTTCTCTTGCAATGAAGACATCCTTTGATTGTAGGGCTTTATCCTGTACTTGATTGATTAGAGGAGATGATAAACACATATTCATGAAAGCCAAGAAAATAGCATTTTGTAAACCAGATATATTATGACCGGTTCTCCAGAAGGAGAAACCGATGAACAGGCCAGCACCAGCATTCAAACCAAACTTCGAAATCACGTAAACCTTATCTCTTTTAGTACAAATATATTGTCTTTTAATAATGTATCTTAATTGAGCCATGTAAGAAGGTTGAGTCCAGGCAGAGGTAGTAAAATCGACATTGGAATCACGTGCTTCAGCCTCTAGTGTATCTAAAGTCTTGAAAATTTCAACCTTTTGAGGAGATTGTTGCCACGTTGTTGCCCAATCAAGCTTATTAGCTTCCCCATCACGAACTTTACCGCCAACAACATCAATAACAAAATCAGCAGGGTTTTCAGTTTCATGATCGTAAGTTAAGAGGTTGTCATGGTTTACAAAGTAGTCACAAGCGTTCTCAATATCACCGAAGTAAACACATTGACCACCTCTTTTCAGTAAGAAAATATTATCAAAATGGCTAATAACACTCTTAGAAGGTTGGTGGATAGTACAAAGAATAGCCTGGCCTTGTTCAGATAATTTTTTCAAAAACTTAACAATAGTTAGAGCAGCTTCTGAATCTAGACCAGATGTAGGTTCATCTAAGAACAACAATAGAGACGGTTTGGTGACTAATTCAACACCAATGGATAACAATTTTCTGTCTGTTGGAGATAAGTCGGCAACCAATTTATCAGCAGGTAATCTTAATAACTTAGCAATAGATGCCAAGTATACCATGTCACCATCACCTCTTAGGTTACAGGAAACTTCAAGGGATTCTTTAACGGTTAATAGATCTAAGTGGACATCTTGTTGTTGAACAAAACCGATACTTCTTCTGAAAGCACCAATATTGGTTAGTGGTTGGCCATCAATCAGCAGTTCACCGGTTACAACACCCTTTTCAGTTCTTTGAGATAAGACGTTTAACAATGTTGTCTTACCGGCACCTGATTCACCCATAAGAGCCGTCAGACCAGACGAAATATAACCAGATACATCATTAATTAATTGTTTGTTGCCTTCTACAGTGTAGTTAATATTTTTCCATGAGATAACGTGTTTTTGAGATTGAACAGTAGCTCCGGTTTCACCATTAGATGGAGATTTTTCTTCCTCATCTTTTGAACCTTCTGGGATTTCTTTGTGTACGGAGTCTAGAGAACTTGATGAAGAACTAGAAGATACCATTGGCTCATTGTATAATTCCTCTTCGAATTCAAGATCGGAACCACTTATGATACCATGACGTCTCAAATAAGCCTGGAATTTTAATAAGTTCTGACGAGTGTATAATGGAGTAATGTATTCAGAAACGAATAATGATAAGAAAAGGTAGAAACATAAGAAACCAATTAGGATACCAAAGTTTCTCCAGACATGGTGGTACTTGTACTTCAAACCGGAGCTTAGGTAATCTTGACCTCTAACATAGTTGTTACCTAAAGTTGCACCTTGCCAAGCACATGCTTTGTTTGAAAAAGTGACATTAACGTATGCGGGACCTCTTGGAATAATACTTTCGGTACAATCCAATTTCAAGGTAAACAATTCATTACTCAAGATGGCTTCCATACTGAACATAGCTGGGTTAAGGTAGGCAATCCAAATAAACCATGGGTGCATATCCTCCAAATGAATAACATAAGAAGCATACATAGCAATGGCTAATAATAAAATACCAGCAAATAAATTAGCAATAGACAATGTTGGACTCATTAGTGCAGTTAGAGTAAATAATGAGACCATTGAGAAGTTATAAAATGACAGGAATAATAAGAAGATGAAGAATCTTGCAGCCTCGTACTTCAAATGAGCTAAGAAATATAAGATAATGGAGAAAACAACGACTAAAAAGAATTTAAATGTGTAATCAAAACATGTAGATGCTAGTGTCTCGACCCAACTGTAGTAAAAATGTAAGTTAACATGTTTCATAACAACAGATTGTCTTTGGAAAGCAGCAGGTAAATCAGATAAAGCAAGGAAAGTAAAGAATAAAATAGCGAAGAAACTCAATGACCCTCTAGAAAAAGAACCGATTGTAGTCTTAGCGACATCATAAAATAAGGAACCAATAACCAAAGATTGGATAACCACGGACACAAATTGAGAAATTAAGTAAGATTTATCACCGATACTTCTGTCAAACGCTCTTCTTGTAACGAAATCTAGTTGTTTTGTTAGAGAAATGGCAAAAGTTGGAGTGGTATCCTCCTCTGGAATATCAGTATTACCTGGCGCACCATGAGCATCCACTTCCTCTTTACAACGAGTGTAATATTCAGTTTCCTTCCATAATTCATACAAATCAGTTTCAGATCTTGGAATCAAATGAGACTTCATGTTTTGAGTAGAAAATTGGAAATTTAAGATAGATGTTAAATATTCAATAATACAATCATTTGGATCTTTCTCGATACCTAAAGAGTCACGGAAATGGGTCATACATTCGTCGATAGTACCGTAAAACACTTGGTATGAGTCAGTAAGCATCAAAATTTTATCAAACTTGTAAACAATCTTATCGGAAGCTTGAGAAATCTTGACAAAATTAACAGATCTAGTAGCTCTGGCCATCTTTTGTAAAATGGATAAGAAATCTAACGCAGTTGCAGAATCCAAACCCTTGGTAGAATTATCCCATAGGTATACAGAACCATTGGCAGCAAAAGTTTCGATAATTGAAATACGCTTACGTTCACCACCAGAAACACCACGAACATAATCATTACCAACCAAAGTCTTCAAGACATGAGAAAGACCGAATTCCTTTAACAATTCATCTCTTAAAGCAATACGTTCCTCCTTTGGAATATCGAATTTACAACTCAAAGCGAAATCGATTGTTTGTTCGACAGTCAGGAAAGGAAAATGAATATCTTGTTCATTGTTGTAAATAATTTGTTGAGGACACTTTGACGAAAAAGCCTTGTATTCATTGTCCTTAAATTTAATGCCACCTTCTGGAGAATATTTTAAATTTTTGTGGCCATGGAAAAGGGCATTGAATAACGGAGAAGATGGTTTACCTAAAATAAGAACCATTTCACCTTGTGAAGTTCTGAAAGTTAAATCATGAAGAATATGTTCTTCTGAGCCTTCGGCAGCAGCGGCTGATATGATATCAGCCTCAGGATCTTTATTGTGGACCTTGTGGCCAAAACCGTTGCCTAATTCAATATTCGCACCATTGAATGTCACTGAGGCATCAGGGACCGGTGTAAAATATTTAGAAATATTAGACATCAGAGTTTGAAGGGGAAAAAAGACAGGTATTTAAAGGAAAAAGGTTATGCAAAAAGACCAAATGAAATATGTTTAGATTATAATGTTTAATTTAGAATCTTGATTACTTTTATTGTATCAACGAAAAAAATCTTTCTTTTCAATCACTTCTCAACTACTATTTTAGCAAAATAAAAAAAGTTGAAGATACAATAATAATCAAAATAGCGAGAGTATCTTATGTTCAATTGAGCAGATTGAATGTTTTTTTACAGATAGAATAAGAAAGAAAGAAAAAACTGAAAATAGCATGATGAAAGGTAGTATGCAAGGAAAATATTTAGTTTTCATAAAGGCAATTACTTATATATAAGGGATCTCTACCTTTCTAAATTAAAGCTTAGAATAGAATAAGTTCATGCATCGACAAGACATGACGGAAAGAATGAGAAAATTTATATAATTTTTTGAGGGTACAGAGCAATATCAAGAGGAAAGAAGAAGGAAAATTATTCTGTATCTTATTTTTGTTTTGTTGTTGTTATTTTTTATTGTTGTTGTTTTGCTTTGTTTTTTTCATTGCGTTTTATTTCATACGACCGTGTTTTTTTCATTTATTTTAGCTGTGGCTTTCAGGCTCCCATATAAAGATTATTAATACTGTGCTTCTCGAAATATAGAGGTAGTTTATAATTTTTTCATTTTTATCAATTCTTCTTTTTTTGTACCTCATTACTGCATACTTATCTCCTCCCCCATATAAGTGCAGAGGCCATAAAAGGTAAAACAAAATTTCACTAAACAAAGAAATAATTGCCTTATAGAAGCTTCTAAAATGTATATCGTTACCAGGAACCATAGTACATTAACAGTACCGGACGAAAATAAATATGATTATCTTGTCTCGACGAAAAACTTCTTCTTATCTAAACGAGGGATGAAGTAAGAATATGTTCAAAAATTCAATAAAAACAACTTTGGTACCCACTTTTCCCTGTGATAGTGAAGTATCATTATCCTCCTCTGTTATTATACATGAAACACGAAGACAGCTCTGAAAATAGACACTTTTTCCTCGTTCAAGGATAAAATAATCAAAAAGAAGAAACGAGAAGAAAAACTGCAACAAAAAGAAACAAGATCTAAGGAACAGGTACCGCGTGATGACAAATGCTATTAACCTCGCGCAGAGAAATGAATAGAGGAAAAAAGGATTTTCCGCGGATGTTTCATTGCAACCACGATCAACGCCATACCTAATTTAAACGAATAAAGTTCTGCTCTCTTTCTCTCTTTCGACACAGAAAATAACAGAGGTGATTATTATTGATAGTTTTTCAATGAGTTTATTAAAAGATGTTTCTTAAACGAACCAAGTTTCTCAGCTAAAGAAAGACTGTAAGGATCAATACTTTGTATCCTTGTTTCTATGCCTCGTTTAATAAGTCATTTGCCCTCCCATTTGGGTAATAAAACGAAGAGAAATCCATGTATTCCTTTAGCAAACAAAATTCACAGACTATTCTTGTATTGATTGGGTTTTTTGTTATATGCTAAACTGGGGGGGTGACATTGAACTGATCAGGTACTAGATTTCCAATCTTGGAAATGTATGCTAAAATAATTAAAGCTATCTTTTCAAGAAATTTTTTTTTAACTCTATTAGCATCTGATCAGAAAATTAAAATGATCTTTTTTTTTTTCCATTTTCAATGAAGGGTCCTTAACTTCCTTATTTACGCGGGATGAATAGCAAAACACTGAATATAGAAGGGATATTTTTGAGGTGAAAGAGGTTGATGGCCCTCTTCAACAATGTAATTAAAATCACTGAGGTATACGTTTACGCCAATGCAAAAAGACTATGGATAGCTCAAGTTGGAAAGAAAAAGAAATAAAAAATTTGTAAATATTATTTCGGTGACTCCAGGAGTTAGTAAATCCAACTAAATGAGTTTCTGACCATATGAAAGTTGTTCTCCTGTAAGCACTAAACGAACTGGTAATGCCAAACAAGTTTATCTTGGCAAATTCTTAAACTTGAAACAAAAGTTCTTATGTCCTAATTCTCCAATGCATCCTAAACATATGTTTTGTTATTATGTTGTTTTAACTTAAGAGTAACATTTAAAAAAAAGTATTCGATAAACTAATATATCATATATAGTCATCGATGAGGTCGCATTGTAGCGCATTTTGTTGATGAAATCTTTGATTTATCGTTTATTTAAAATATTGGTGTATTTTTTTTTCAGAGCGGCTGTCTAAGTAACTTCTTTGGAGAGGAAAGTAAACAAAATTTGATTTCTTTTATTGTGGAGGTTTTTAGGAATTGCAAACAGAAACTGTAATATATTTTTATTTTTTCTTCCAAACAAATCGATAATTACCGTAAATTCTTAGAAACCAGTAGACTTGATACGTCTGGAGTTTGAATTAACACCGAGAGCAGGAAACTTATCTCGACCCTGAAATCATTTTTTCTGAAGACCTTTGGCTCTTGAATACATCATGCCAAGATCTCATTATAACGTAGAACGTTTGGTGAGGCGCTGATTACTCGAAGTAGTCGTTGACTTACTTTCTCTCAAGCTTAATTATGTGCTTCCGTTTACTTTACTCTGCTACATAATCCGAAACAAAAAACAATTGAGTGTCTAGGTTATGGCTATGGTTACAGTTATGGTTGTGTCTATAGTTATAGCTATTTATATACAGCGATATTATGTGACGTGGTTGAGGTTTTTGACACGTTCACTTATTATCATTGTAGAAGTTTTTCTGATAGCGATGCCTCACATGTGTCAGTGACCTTATCTGGAATTTTAAAGATAATTATAATATATATATATGTGTGTGTGTCGATAGATATTCAAGGAATTATATAATCAAGAAACTTGAGAAGTATGTATATATATATATATGTGTGTGTGTGTGTTCATTTGTTGAGCATGACCCATGATAACTCTGCTCTCTCGTTAACTGATGGGTTTTTTATTGTTAACTTTTTGCCTAGTGTGGCTGTCGTTTCTTAAAATCGGTTAAATGTTAAGTAGGTCTTGTATTCCAGGGTATACAAGTCTGGGTGAAAAGAAGGAGGGGCATCAAGCGAATATTTAAAATGAAAGTCCCTGTTTAAGCTCGTTTTATGATGTTCATTATTTCGTAATTTTATTGGAAAAGATATATTTTGATAACGATGCATCTCGTTAAAAAACAATTTAAGCCCTATATAATAACCCTTCATATTTATGAGGGTTATACCACTACCTACGTAATATATTCTTCCAAGCCACAATCAACAACATTAAGAACTCCAAGAACGCCAATTGTTATTTAACGTGAGCGGTAGTACCTAATCAAAATTCGCAATACACGCTCAATATTAATGGAAGAGCTACATTAACAACCAAAAGTACATCATCGCCATATGATAACCACGGAAAAAAAGCTAGCAGTGTATTTTTCAACATCGTACAATTCTCCCGGGTCACTTATACTTCTTAAAATTATTTGTTAAGTAAAATGTATCTTTTATTACCAAGAAACTATTTTCAGGTACGACGGCCTTTAAATAATACTAATTACAAATTTCAATGAAACAGCCGTAGAAGTGGAGCTCTAACGTATGCCCCGTTTAGGAAATAGAAAAAAACTTGATGTCCCGTTTAGGCATTCTCTCGTAAGTAAAATGTTAAAAAGAAAAAAAAAATATTTTCCTTTCCGCAGGCAACTCGGGAAAGTTGAAAATGAAAAATTTTTCAGTTTAAAATTGAGATCTGCCTTCAAATTATTCTTGGGTTTCAACTCATTCTTTGTTTATTATGTAAGTGGAAATTTCAAGCAAACATTCACACAGGTGAGAATGCACACACGTATTCTATAAAAAATAACTAACCTCAGTGGTAAAGGGAAGGGAGAAAACGTAATGCAGTTTTGTACGACAGTAAAATACAACCATTCGAGGTTCTTGCTGGTCCTTTTCTCTTTTGAAATAACATTTTTATTTTTTTATCTACGAAGTTTGGCGTTTGAAGAGACTGGGACGTTTTTGCGTAAAGTCTGTAGTTGTTATTATTACACTCGCACTATTTCCTATTTTATTGTTTCTATTCTTTAAATAATAACGTGTATTTTATCGTGCACCAAAGGAAACCGCTATTAGAATACCGAGATGCATTGCATCATGGTCAAAAAATATACTTCCTCGTACAAGATAGATGGGCTCCGTCAATCTTCTCACAGTTCCCAGAATTTGTTCTCTTTTTTTTTTTGTCTTTCTTGAAGTTATATTAATATAGAACAAGGGGAAATGATAGACGAGTATATATATTAGAAACTTTTTCTTGAATTTGTTTAATTTTACATTACATATGCATTTCCCCCACTTTTAATTTTATTTCTTTTGTCTAATTGATATTTTCCTTTCTTCATTAAAATTTCTTTTTAACTCACAATTGTTTAAAACGTCATCCCTGAATCCAATTACGATAACAAATACCCATTACATAATGTCTATGAAATTAACCGCTGTCCTAGCTCTAGCTGCCGCTGCCGTCATGGCCGAAGAAGTCTCTGACTACCAAGTTGCTCAATTCGAAGGTATGTTAATCGATGTTAACAATCACTTGCAAGATTACATGTCTCTAGCCATGAACGATGCTGATTTCACCATCCCATCCGGTGTTTTGGATGTTTATGAACACATGACCACCTACGCTTCCGGTGATGACTCTTACACTTCTCTTTTTACCGAAATTAACTTCGCTCAAGTTACCACTGTTATGAAACAACTACCATGGTACTCTTCTAGAATGCTACCAATCATTGAATCTTATCTATCTGCTCACAGTTTCACTGAAGAAGATGCCAGTGTTGCTGCTTCCTCTTCTTCTGCTGCTGCTTCCTCTTCTGCTGCTGCCTCTTCCTCTTCTTCTGCTGCTGCCTCTTCCTCTTCTGCTGCTGCCTCTTCCTCTTCTGCTGCTGCCTCTTCCTCTTCTGCTGCTGCCTCCTCTTCCTCTGCTGCTGCTTCCTCTTCCTCTTCTGCCTCCTCTTCCTCTTCTGCTTCTTCCTCTTCCTCTTCTGCCTCCTCTTCCTCTTCTGCTTCTTCCTCTTCCTCTTCCTCTTCTGCCTCCTCCTCTTCTGCCGCTTCTTCCTCTTCTGCTTCCTCTTCCTCTTCTGCCTCTTCCTCTTCTGCCGCTTCTTCTTCCTCTTCTTCCCAAAACGGTGCTGCTCAACTAACCGCTGGTATGGGTGCTTTCGCCGCTGCCGTTGCTATGCTATTATAATTGAATTGAAAGAACTTAATTTTATACAATCTTCATTTCAATATATATTCAGAAACATTCACTCTCAAGACAAATTAATTCTTAAAATGTGTAGGTATATTTGATTACACTGAACGCTTTAATCTACGTAACATTATGTAATATATACAATCACTTTAATGGTTTCCTTACAACTCATAGAATTGATATAATGTTCAATTTCTTATTCTTTAGCTATCATTTATGTAGTAGTAGTTATTAATTTCCTTGATAGTTACCCTCGTATCAACTTTTTTTTTTGTGTAGTCCCGAAAATTCTGAAATCGGAGTGAAGCTAAAAAAGGGGGAGCAGAATAATAGTCATTGACATTATTAATATTTGACTTACTGAAAGAAGAAATCTATAAGCTCTTTAAGTGCATATATATTCTATCAACTTGTTGGTCATTTGTTTATCTTAAGGGAACATATTAATTCTTAAAAGTTGGCTAGAAGAAGAAAATTTCCATAGTTTTATCTTTTAATACTAGTAATAAAATAATGACAGCTCCACGTAGATCAGCTAGAATTGCTGGGAAAAGATCTGAAAAAATTGAAGAAACTCAGGAAGAACCAAAGTTAAAAAAGACTAAAGTAACTAAGAAAGAATCGAAAGAGTCATCAAAAAAAACGGAGCCTGTAAGTCATTTAGAAGTTGGTGATGAAATTCCAGACATGACTTTGCAAGATCAGGATCAAAAAGATGTTTCTTTAAGAGAAATAGTTAAAAAGAATAAGATAGTTGTAATATTTGTTTATCCTAAGGCATCCACACCAGGGTGTACGCGTCAAGCATGTGGGTTCCGTGATAATTTTGAGGATCTGAAGAAGCATGCTAAGGTGTACGGGTTAAGTGCAGATAACGCTACAAGGCAGAAGAACTTTCAAACTAAACAGCATTTGCCATACGACTTGCTAAGTGACCCAAAACGAGAATTGATCGGTATTCTGGGGTGCAAAAAGACTCCGCAGAGTGGTATTATAAGATCTCATTTTGTTTTCTATGATGGTAAGTTGAAGTTTAAAAGAATCAAAATATCTCCAGAAGTAAGTGTGTCCGACAGTAAGAAAGAAGTTTTAGAACTTGCTAAGAGTCTAGAAAGTAGAAAGTAAATTCTGAAATGCATTTCATGAGGTATATTCAATATTTCTTGTGTTCTATAGTTTAGTTACTCTTCTTAATGTTCTTTTCTACGAAATAACAGTCCTGTATATACAAACTCTCGACGTTTATTAGAATTAAGTTGTAAGACTACATCGAGATACTTATTCAAATTTTGTTTGTTACTGGGTTTTATATAGGTGTATAGATTATAAGTGTTAAGAAAATGCTTGTATTGCCGAAAACGAGAATGATAACTCGCCTGCGACGCACAAAACTAGCGGTGGGTTTCTCAATGATACTGAAGATAAGACAGATATCAAATATCACATAAATATGAAAAAAACTTGAAAAAGGAACCTTTTAATTGAACTAGACTAGTTGAAAATTTGTTTCAAAATTATATCTTTCATCTATCGCACATTTTTTAACATAATTGATGCTTCTAAATATTTTATCTCATTCTGACACAAATAATCTATATATAAATACTTCGGAATGTAGGTATTGTGATGGTATAGTTCTGGACTGTCATTGTTTATTTTTTAAGGGCCTCAACGATGGAAGTATATCCTTCAATGAGGATGTTAAGAGAAAATTGTTACAACTTGAGAGCCAAATTCAAAATGATTCCAAGTCGTTTAGACGGTTGATAAGAATTAAGCTTAAACATTTGATATCTTCTGCAAAAATTAAATGGGAACATATACGTGATAGGGAACCAAATAATCATAATAAAATGGAAAACAAAAAATTCTACAGAACCAATAAGTTGTCAAATTGTATTTTTGCAGAATCATTTCCCTATGAGAGTATACTTACGCATTGCACTAATAAGTTAAATCTTCAATTATTGATAACTTTTAGCAAGTATAATACATTTATTGAATTGAGAAATGATCTAATTGAAAAATTATTTGGTTCCTACTGTCCAGTTCACTTTCGAAACAACAAATTTATAGATTACAATGGACAGTCTTACAGAAAACTCCAAAAAGCATTAGCAAGAACAAAGATGTTAAGACAAGAGGAGCAATTGAAGGAGAAAAGGATGTATAACCCTTCAAACAGACATGTACCTTGGATTATAAGGCCTTTCAACTTTGATAGAGAGTATAGTTATTCAATGTTTTGTAATATGGCTCTGGAACATGATGATCCCTGGATTAGATATCATGAGGGGATAAAAAAGGTTCCCAGAAAACATGTTATTAGAAGGTGGCAGAATAAAAGATGGCAATGGGAAACTATTATAGATTATATATTTAATGAGTTGAGTCCCCATCAATACCTTTTGGAAGATATTTTACACCCAGAAATACATTCAGAATTACTGAATAGCATGGGCACCCCAGGAACGGAATTCCAAGAACAAAGAAACCCAAGAAGGGAAGAAAATAATGAACACACTAATCCTATAGACGACGGGATATTGGAAGAAGCATTCCAAAAATTACTCTATATATGTAATACAGATATTCCAAAAGAAGCTAAAACACTAAATAATTTTTCTGTTCGGACAATATAATGAAAAATGTCATCATATTAAAACTGTGACGTCCGAAAATCTTTCCTTACCTTTTTATTTTTTCTTTACCTTTTTTCTTTGCATTTAACCCATTACTGTCATTTTCATTTATTGCGACATTTTTTTTTTTGTTAGTTAAATTATATATATATAAGCTAGTTATAAAGTACAATTCAAACTTTCTAGAAACTGTAACATCGTAGTGCTAGGTGTTTTAAAATCATCTGCAACCCTTCTGACGTTGAGAAAAAATAATTTAAAACATGCACAGCTTACAACATAATAGACTCAATGACTTTTTTGAAACTAATTACTCTAAAGAGTTAGAGCACAATCAACAACAGAAAATTAATAAGCTTAGGGAAACAGTAGAGGTTTTAGAAATGGATTTATTATATATTCTCTCCAAAGATGCCAGGTCTAATTTTATTAACGGTACAATTTCAAAGAAAAATATTCAAATCAATAAGAAAGAATATTATACCAAACTAAACAATGTACAAAAAGGTATTCTTAATCAAGCGAAATCAAGTACAAAATTATCTAATCGGACTGTTAACAACCGTTTGTCACGAACTAACGAGAGTTCTTTTGAAGGGAAAGAAAATTGTCAAATGGAGGAACCTTTATATGACACAGTGATGCGTTATCCACAATTCAAGGAAGTTTTAAATGGCTATCAAAAATTTGATATAAAACGATATAACATAGTAAGTGCTAAAAAGAACAACGAGACACTCCTGACCTTGTCTGGGAATAGCTTTGATGGAAATGTGAAGGAAATATTTGACCAAGGTACACAATATAGCTCTGGTAATCAAAGTGAATCTAAGAACGTCGTATCTAAAAATTTATTTCAGACTAAACTTGAAGAAAGTTCTATTGTATTGTTTAATACCGTTGGGAAAGAGTTTGATAAAACTATTAGACCTCAACAATATATAACTCCTGGTGATATTACTTGTAGCAAGAAATATCACAGAGTGAGATTTTGGCTAAATGATTACCAAGCAAAACCTTCAAGAATAAAATTGCTGAGTCATTCTGAAAGAACATAAATATGACTATTTTTTTATCACTATTGTTTTTTTGTTTACTTAAACATCATAATAAAAGAGTTTCGAGTTAAAACGTAGCGCTGAAAATTTAACAGATTCCTAAAAATATAAAAAATATTTATAATTTTAGTATGATTTTTGATAGTAATCCTCGTTTCTATCTTTTTGAGCATTGATTGGATTTTTATTTTCATTCATTTTTATTATACAGATATTATAAAGATAATTCTTCTTACTTTCTTTCGGAAGGAATTATGTAATATACAGATTATGTATTTCGAACCTGTGTCTTTATATATTACGAATTTAGTGGCGTCGTTGTTAACCTTCACATTTATGAACTTCTTATTCTAGTATCGTCGTATAAGCCTATTCAATTATAATAATTGTAAACAATAGTCTTTGTGTTATTTACTTAATGTTAATTTTTTATGCTC